TGCAAGGAGCTCAACAAAATCACAGCAGGTCAAAATGTTTTTAACATTATAGGTTCCTATTAAAAGTCTGGGTTTATCATGTTTGCACACCTGATATGCAGCACTTCACATCATCCTTGAAAGGATCTCAAGGCCCTGTGGTTGAGACTCACTGTTACATAGGAAGACAGGAGTACAAGTAGTAGGTTGTAGCCTAAAACAGTTAGCGTGAGAATTTTGAGTCAAAGTCTGGGGCAAAAAGTGACATGACATGCATGTCTCTTAGAGACATTTATGGTCCCCTTTGCTAGATTGCCTCAGATATACAGCCTTGTGTTACTGTGTGAGATAGGAAGTGCAGCTGTCCCCCTTTTCCCCATTCCTCCATGGGGAGCTGAGTCAAGGGAATATAAGTAGATTCTTCCCTTGCAGAATAACCCAAGCTAAATCATCCCCCCAGCTTCAGGATTCTGTTCCCATGCATAACCCTTGGACAGATAAAACCTGGAAAGGGACAAACTACAACTCTGTGGCACCTTTTCCCAAACTCCTGAGACTTGTCTGTGGAGCCTGGATCTTAAGAAGTGAGCCAGGAGTCCAGCAGTCACAGGGTGAATCACCTACAGGATGTACAAGGTGCTGCTTCCTGCTGGCCGTGAGAGAACAGGGGTCTGACTCTGCCCTTTGTACCTTCTTTGGAAAGGCTTTTGCGATTATACTTATTGCAGTGATTGTTTTGCATCATGCCTTCTGAGCTTTGGAATTGTGATTGTACCTTCCCCCTGCATCGGGGCAGGACAGGAGACTTCTGGTGATCCCTTTCATCTTCTACCTTCATGCAGGACAAAATGCTAAGTATGTGACTGACTTCCAGCAGAACGTACAGTACCACTGTGGCAATGCCTGGAGTGGAACCCACATCTCCTGACTCCCAGCCCTTTGCATGTGCGCTTTGGATGAGAAAGCAAGCAAGCAAGATGTTCTGTTACTGAATATACCCTAACCAAACTCCCCATGTGACCAAGAAACATGGAGATATCATTTTATACAGTCATTAGGAATAATTATATATGAGTCATGAGAATAAGATTTTGGTAGTATGAAATGAAAGCTGGGCTTGTTCTCTTTCTGAAAATGTCAAAAGATAGGTTGGTTTGCTTCTGTTCTGGCCTGCATTGATTTTTGCTGGAGTAATGTTTTTGGGTTCGTTGGAGTTACTCTTGTTATATACCATGAGGATGTTAGAATTAGACCACTAAAACAGAAACTCAGTTAATGTAAACTGGTGTAGCCCCATTACCATTGATGCAGCTACTTCAGATTACATCAGCAGACATTCTGGCTCATTTTGTTTATTGATGGTGTTGCAGCTTTTACATTGCCCTGATAATAATGGATGCTCAAAGTGGCAAAGGTATATGCTTGTATTAACTATTATATATTGTTGAATTGTTTATGTAACGTCACAAGTATGTCAGGGCCATCAGAAAAACAACTTCCCATCCATCCCCAGCTAGCGCACACTAAAATGTATCAGTTTGAGAACACAACAATTAGTGACTAGGCCTGTGTGAGTAGGCAGCTATTGGATCCAGCTTTGGATCCGGCCGCTTCGGATGTCAGCGATCTGATCTGGAGCTCCAAATTGGGTTCCCGCTTCGATCTGTCTGAAGTGGTTCCGAAGCTTTGGAGCTGCCTTGGAGATCCGGCCATAGGGTATAATAGGGAATCAATGAAATAGCTATAACTTTGTTGTTTTTTGTCTGATTTGGATTATACGAGCAGGGGTAGTAGCCTCTGTTGAGAGCATGAAGCATGCCAAGTTTCAAGAAGATCGGTGTAGGGGTATGGGGGGAACTGCAACCTAAATTGGTGAAAGCAAAACTCATGTTAAGGCGCAGCAGGCTGAAAACTGCAGGGGTGGTGGCCCCTGCTCAGGCCACAAAGCCTGCCAGCTGTTGAGGACATAGGTGCAGGGCTTCTGGGTTCTGGGCTCTGCACTTCTAGCTGCTGACAGACAAAACTCATGACATGGGTGCTTGTGCAACTGTGTCTGTTTTGGGGCAGTTGATTGTCTGTATTATTTCCTCACCTTAGTTTGTGGTTTTGTAGGTGTTAATCATTGCTCGTTAACTCATTAACACCTACAAAACCAGGGACTAAGGAGACCACCCCAGCAGTTTTCATCCCGCCACACCTTAACACACACAGGGTCATCTATGTCACAAGTTTTGCCTGTCAGCAGCTTGAGGTACAGTTCCCCCCAAGCTCCTGCACTTATCACCTTGAAACTTCGCAGACTTCGTGCTCTCAACAGAGACTACTACCCCTGCAGGTCTAATCCAAATCAGACAAAAAACAACAAAGTTATAGCTATTTCATTGATTCCCAATTATACCCTATGGCCGGATCTCCGAGGTTGCTCCAAAGTTTTTCCAAAGCAGTTCAGAAGCTCCGAATCACTTTGGAAAGCCTAAAGAAGACAGCGCTTCAATCCAGACGTGCTGCTTCAGATGCTAAAGCATCCGAAGCTTCTCTGGATCTGAAGCACGGTCTGAAGCCTCACACAACCCTATTAGTGACATCAAAGCATGGCAGTGGAAAGCAATAGATGACAAAAGTTGGCTATTCCGAGAAATGCCCTCACAAGTTTTTTAGCCTTTTCATAATGTATTTTGTCTGTCTGTTTTGTTTAGGCTTGTTTTCAATTTTCTTTGTCTTGTATCACAAAGGCAGAGTGCTGGGCATAGGACCTACCTACACAAACAAGTTATCGACACACGTTTTAGGACGTGTCAACACTGTGACTCATCTGAATTCTTCCAATACCTTCTGGGCTCTTTCTGTCTAGGTATTCTAGGCATTTTAAGAATGAAAGAGTGCAACACATCCTCAGTTGTCTGATCCCTTGGGTATTCAAATGACAACTTAAAAAAAACCCTAACTTTCAACTTTTGGTATCACATAACAAACTATTGTCATCAGCATTATCTAATACAGTACTTCTGTACTCTAATGTTGTCTAAAGCATTGTAACTTGTAGCTTATTTGTAACTGTTGGGGCATGGTTTTGTTTTTTGTAAAGCCTTATTTACTACAGGGTATATCTAGCAGGGGTAGGCAACCCCCGGCACAGGTGCCAGAGTGTGGCACTCAAAGGCATTTTGCTTGGCACGTGCCTCAGGGCAAACGGCAGCAAAGGGGCCAGGGCTGCATAGTCACAACAAGGATTGGGCCCCTCATGGCTCCCCCACCATCCACTCCTGGCACGCCAACATCTTACAAGTTGAGGTTGCAGGTGTTTTTGGCAGTCTGCCCAAAAATGTTGCTGACCCCCAGTGTATAATGACCATATTTCTTGTGTCCTAGTAGGACACAGTTCTCCCTGCCCCATTTTCCACTCGGCTTTCTCTGAGCTCTGGTCTTAGCTCTGAGTGTGCCGAGGAACTGTATTACAATCCTGTATCTCTGCTCTTAGGTTTGTTACAGCAACTGCTTCACTTATCCCAATGAATTCAGCTACCCAAATTGCTTTTCAGCATGTACTTTCCAAGGGGGGTTGAATAACCAGGGCTGTTATCAATTTGTGCACTTGTTTAATTGGCTAACACCAGTGTTTGAGGTGCTGTTATACTTAAACTCCTCATTGTTATAAATATATTAAAATATATCCATATGGTGTCAGATTTTCAGAAACTTCAGCATTTTAGGTGCTGAGCTGTTTGGAAAATCTGGCTGTAAGTGTCACCGTTGGAGCTGCTATTTGTTCTTTTGGGAAGCTGGCCTTTAGCTTGGTCCCTAAACAGAAGCTGAGACCTTTAGGAATTTCTCCCCAGTTTAAGACACCAAGCAAATCTGACCCTTTGTGTTTATCTACCTTTGTAAAGTGGCTTGATATCTATGGATGAAAAGTTCTGCGAGGTGTTGCATGTACCATTATTATGATTCACTTGTCATTATGAATGGAGCAGAAAGCTGGATACTTAAAAAAAAAAAAAAACAAAACAACCCTATCATCCAGGGATGCTATGCAAACTTAAAATAACATGTTAGTCTTTCCATCGGGGTGCCAAACTCACTTGGGGGCCCAGGTTGGATATGAACCTCAGGCTTCCTTGCAGGCTGGATCCAGCTCAGGCACAGGGGTCACTGCCATGGCCAGTGCAGTGGTGGCAGGCCCAGTGGCAGTGCAGCGTCTGAGGGCCATGAGGAGTCCTGAGGATGGGGCCCAGGTGCAGTGACAGTCTGGGGATGGCAGCCATGATCCGCGTTCACCACTGAGAGCCATGGCAATAGAGCCAAGGGGCCCAGAATTTTGCAGCAGGCCATGCCCTGCAACTTCCAGTGGTTTATCGTCAGCCCAGCAGGCTGGACACAGAGGCTCCACAGGCTGTATGTTTGACACCCCTACTTTACACAGACTGGAAACTGGATATACTAAGATCTGACCAGACTTGCCTTGAGTTTTTGGACTGCAGCGGTTATCAGTGATTTGAGCATATCAGACTAGGAGTGTCGTGTGATCTCAGAGGAGGGAATCAGACCTTATTTCACCTAGAGCAGAATTGGTCATTCTTGGTAGTGTGGCTAGTAAAGCTGAGGCTCACTAGAGGGAATTAAATATGCTTATACAAGTGTTCTTACAGAGAAGTGGTGTAGCATAGAGTTCCTGCAGGGAAACAATCATGTAATCAGAAATTACCTTGGATCAGAAACGCAACTGTCTAGACGCCCAGGTTGGAGCAGCTGGTGAGAGGAGCCTCTGTTGTAGCTCAATTGAGGGGGTGAAACTTGTTGCCAAATTGCCTGGATAACTTTGATAATGGGAGGGAGGGGGAAACACAGAAACCCTGAACACAAAGGTTCATTAGAAAGAAAGTAGTAAGTTAGGGCTGCTAGGGAGAAACCAGCTTTACAGAAACCCATTTAATAAATGTGATTTAAAAATCTGAAGTGCCACAACTCAGCATGGGTGCATTATTAGTATCAGATTATATATAAAGAAGATCTTCTACTTCCAGAGCTTCAGATTCTACAAAGAAGACTGATCTTTACCAGCTGAGTGGTCATCATGGAAGTGGAATGTGCTGTTTCTTTGTAGATGGATGAAAAGTTTAACATCATAGGCTTGCAGCCCCTCTGGTTTTCATGATGGCAGCAACCAGTGGAGAAAGCCAGCTACAGAGGATTATCCGGGATTTGCAAGGTACGCTGCCTGTTGACAGACATGATTTTACAGGCCTGTCTGCATTCCTCATGTTTTTGCTATTTTGGCACGAGGTTGGTTTGTTTATAATTGTCTGAAATCTGTGCGTGGCATTTATAATTTGACATTTGAGACTTACGTTTGTTCGGTGTTGATGTAACTCTTATCTCATATTCTGCATGAAATTTACTCTGCTTTATTTAGGATATCAGATTGTGTACTGTATCAATTTTATAATGAAAAACATCCCCTCTGGGATTAGGATTCGCTGTCTCTGCAAACAGTAGGCAGGATTCTTCTCTTACACTGGTATAAATCTGGACTATCTCCAGTAAAATGAGCAGAGAGACAGTCCTGTAAAATTAATGTAAGTGAGAAATCAGAACTTTCTTTTCCATGTTTATGGATCACAGATAGTCACAGGGACAAAAATGTTATTCAAACAATGAAATCAGGCCTCCAAATGTAGGGAAGAATGGGAGAGAAGACAGGGAAAATGTTGCCTGAGTAATCAAAGACAGGTGTGAGGAGGCAGAGCTACGAAAGATGGTTTTGTGGATAAGACACAAATAAATTAGGAAGTCATTGCTGTTTTCCCAGTTTTGTCACAGATTTCCTGTTCAGACTTGAACTAAGACATTTTCAGAATTAAACAATGGTTTTGGATATAAGGTTTGAGATGCCTCTTGGCCTACTTTTTATAAGCACTGTGGGTGCCTATACATGTGCTCCAGGGTGGGGGGGTGGCATTTTAATTAGAGTGGCTCTCGGGAGCTGCTCTAATTAAAACACCTACAACTTTTTGTATTCAGCATCCTGCACTTCAGAAAGGTGGAAGTGCTGTAACTAAAGCTTGTTCAGTGAGTGTTAGTTAAAGCATCACTGCCACCATTTTGAAATGTGAGAAGGTAAATACACAAGATGCTGCAGCACACTGGAGCATTGTGATTCGAACACTCCAGCAGACTCGATAAACCAAACCCATGAACGCCGTATGACCCCGGAGGCTGGGCGGACATGGCAAGCTCCTGCAGGTGGCAGTGGCACTGGGGGTGGCAGGAGCATGGCAGCAATGAGCAGGGAGGTCGCACAGGGAGCCACAGCACTGTCAGTGGTGTGGGGCGGGGGGGACAGGTTGCAGGCAGCAGCAATTGGGGACTGGCCGCAGATGCCACTGATGGTGTCGGCAGCAAGGGGAGAAGGTGAGTCTGCTTCAAAGCGTTCTAAACAGAACATGTTGAAGCATATGTAAAAGTGCCCTGTGAGCCTACAGATCCAGCTGCAGTGGAAAGGAAATGCAAGTGCTCAGCATCTCTGAAAATCAAGCCCAAGTGATCCCAGGAGTAACTAGGAATAACGGCCACAAGTTGATCGAGAGTAGGTTTGGGCTAGACATCAGGAAGCACTACTTCACAGTCAGGGCGGCTAGGATCTGGAACCAACTTCCAAGGGAAGTGGTGCTCGCTCCTACCCTGGGGGTCTTCAAAAGGAGGCTAGATAGACACCTAGCCAGGGTCATTTGACCTCAGCATCCTTTCCTGCCCATGGCAGGGGATCGGACTTGATGATCTGCTCAGGTCCTTTCCAACCCTACCAACTATGAAACTATCCTCCTCAATACTCCTAAAAAAACTTGGAGCTTCTTAAATCACTGGACAGTATTTTTGTCCTTCAGTTTCCTTATCTCAAAAATGATCATATTTTCATTGGAGGTGTTGTCAGTGCTCAGAAGCGTAGGACATAAAACTAAAAAAGCCTTGCTGAGAGATCTAGTTCGGAGTCCTATCAATTCAGGTAACCACATGAATTTATAAAGATTCATCTTCAAATCAGTTAGGGTTATTCCCCTCACTTCTCTTGTTGGAAAACTATTTTAGATCCTCTGATAGTTAGAAACATTCTTCTAATTTGTCTCCTGAATTTATTCATTTTTACTTTTATTTATTTACTTATATGTTTTTGTCCTTGTGCTGATACTGTCTAACTTAAACAGCTCATGGATATTTGTTCCCTTTCACTCTTCATTTTGCTAGGTTGAACAAGCCAAGCCTTTTAGTATTTCAGCTTGAATGAATCTCTCTTGAATGTGGTTGAATAGAATTATACATGGTTTCCTAGACATTAATGGAATATATAAAGCTCTAGATATACTAGATAGTCCATTCGTGTTTCCGTATCTCTGCAAGGATTGCCTTGTATAAGCCAGGATTGCAATTGCCTTTTTTGTGGTCTCATAATATTTGTGCCTTCTAGTCACCCTGTGATTTATACACCTAGGTCTTTCATCGTCCTTGTTGTTTCTAATAGATGAGGACCAATTTTATTAGTTCTGATGTGCATAACCTTGCATTGTGTATGGTTGTTTTATTCCTTTTCTGTAAATTCAGTCTTCAAGAACATCCAGTTCTTTCTGGAAGTTATTTTGGTCCTCCTCTACATTGACAGTGCCTCCTAACTTTGTGTCATCAGAAAATCTCCTTAGCATATTCATACTTTTTGTCTCAGTAGTGTTAATAAAAATGTTAAATAATATTAAGCCCAATACTGATCCTCAAGAAACTTCACTAGTAACATCCCTCTATTCCAGTAAGTGAATTAAATAATATTCCTCCAAGCAAGGATTGCTGTATGCATGCAAAATAATATATGTTGTCAATATGTGACCATAAACAGTCAACAACTACAATAGTTCTACAATTTAAATTGTTATTTATTAATATGATTAAAATGAGCATCGTTAGCCACTATTTCATAAGACATCTCAGGGGAAATGAGACAGGAGGATGGCATGGAAAGGTTCCAGTTAGTAGGGGTGTACAAAGCTTTGGTTGCCGATTTGATTCAGAGAAGATTCGGCCTGATTCGAAGGCTGAATCACCAAATCCGAATTGAATCAGGAGACCAAAAAAAACCTCCAAATCGATTTGGAAAAGATTCAGAAGAAGATTTGGAGATTCAAAAGGCAGTCTTTCAGGGGAACAGAAACTGAGAAGTGGGAAGGGGAGTGTGGGGGGGAAGACTGACATCTGTAGCTGTCCAGTGACTGTGATCTTTCCCTGAGTCCTCTTCCAATCACAGTGCTCTGGGAGAGGGACGTAGAAACAGCATATAAGCCTCTGTCTGCAGGCTTTCTGTCCTTTTTGTGAGCTGTTTCTGCCTGAGCACCAAGAAGGCCCCCATTACAGGCTACCATCCCTCCTGTTTTCACCCCGCTGTGCCTTAACACATACATACAGTCACACGTCACGAGTTTTGCTTTCAGAAGCTTGAGGTTCAGTTTCCCAGAAACCCCTGCACCTACCTCCTTGAAACCTGGCAGGCCTCATGCCCTCAGAAGGAGCTACCATCCCTGCTGTTTTCATCCAGATCTGCCAAAAAATGACAACATTATAGGTATTTCAGTGATTCCCCATTATAGGCTATGGCCAAATCTCTCCAAATCAGTGCCAAATCTTCTGAAGCCGATTTGGCCAAATGGATTTGGGACAGTGATCCGAATCTCCAAATCAAATCACTGTCCTCTGAACCGGCCAAATCCAGATCCAAATCAAATACTTCCCTATTTGCACAGGCTTACCAGTTAGGGCTGTCAAACAATTTTAAAAATTGATCATGATTAATTGTGCGATTAAAAAAATAAGTCTCAGTTAATTAAGTTTTTAATTGCACAGCTAAAAACTCAAAATTATGCAGGTACTTTGTATGGTTGGGGTTGGGGGGTGGAATTTGTGAAGCTGTGGGAGGCTGTGGGTGTGTGTATGGGGTTTGGAGCCTGTGGGGGTCTGCGCAGGAAGGTCTGGAGCTTGGGAAGGGGGGATCCCTGCATGGCCTGGCAGGATGTGGGGTACTATGAGTCAGGAGGGGGTGGGCAGCAGGAGGAAGGAGAAGGAGCGGAGGCAGGGGTATTGGGGGTGCAGTTTGAGGCCCCCACAGTGAGGGAGGGAGTGGGGCAGGGGCAGGGGCTGGGATGAATAGGACCCTGATGTTGGGGTAGGTCATGTGATGGAGCCACGGGCAGCTTGTCTGTGGAGGAGGGGGCACGGCTCCTTGCCACTGTGCACACCCCTGGGGGAGGCATGGGGGGCATGTGACCCTGGGTTTGTGCATGCGCCAGAGGCGGGATGCCCTCTGTGCCCTGCTGCCTTTGCCCTGGGAGAGGTGACACCTTAACTAACAGGTTCAGAAAGCTATAAGTTTTTTTTACGTGATGGTTTCCATCACCAATGAAAGCTTATACTTCTCTTAACCAGTTAGTCTCTGAAGGCACCTATGCACGTGCCCAATGCCTGCTCTGACACATGCTAATTAACACATGTTGGAGCAGACTTGATTAATCGAGTCTGCTGGAGCATGCTAATTAGCACCCTCCAGCAGCCTTTGTGTCACATGTATTCAGCGTGCCCACACTTCAGAATAGCTAATGAGCTTTACTTAAAGTGCCCCCACCACCATTTTGAAGTATGGGACACTGAATATATGAGAGTCTGTGGGCACTTTAATTAGAGTGGCTCCTGAGAGCTGCTCTAATTGAAACCCCCCACCCTCACACATGTAAAGATGTCCTGAGGTGCCACTTTGCCCTGCCGTCTGCCTTTCACACTTCAAGTGAGGAAAAAGCAAAGATATATTACATAGCAAAGCTGGAACTCAGCACAGAGACCCTATTTGATTTGCAGCAAGAAAGGATTATCCTACCTAGCCTCAAACAATTTAATGAAGCTGGACTGGGGACCTAAAGCCTGGTCAGCCCTCTAAGGGGATAGAGAACACTATAAAATCAGTTATTTGTGATACTACTCGAAGAGAAGCCGCTGAGATAGATGGATTCTTTGAATCAGCAGAGCTTTACAGATAGGAGCAGGGGTTCTTTTGTTTGTTTCTAGTTTTGTAAATATGTTTTTCCCCCCCTTTGTGTATTGTAACAAGGGCACTCTAAACCTTCCAGAATAAAACACTAAGGAGACAAATGTGCTGATCAAATGGCTGTTCTTGTTACTGAACCCACTGATCCTCTTCAGCAGCTTACATTCGCCAGAATTCTCATTGGCCCTGCAGACTAGCAGCCATTGATGTTCATAAAGATTGGAAAAAATGCCTTCCTCCATAAAAGCAGCAGAGGGAAAATGTGCATTGAGGTTTTCAGCATTTTACAGTTGGTTTGCTTTCTACAGCAGCTTCTGGGAGGGTGGGGTTGCTAAACATTATTAACTAGCTATGTATGCAAGGGAAATAAAACAATATTACAAATTAACACTGTTTGAACTGTAACTTTTTGCTTTGCTCATCATGGGATTGTGATCAGAGCAGCAAAATTCTGCAGTCTCATTCAAATGCTCTGACTGAAAGAAAAAGAACACATAAGCACTGCATAGAGAAGCAATCCATGTGTTCATTTATTGGTTTAAAGTTACTTAGGTATGCCAAACATCTCTCTTTAGTTACTTGTTCTGGTGTCTTGTTTTAAAGATGCTGTGACAGAGTTAAGCAAAGAATTTAAAGAAGGAGGGGAGCCAATCACAGATGACAGCATCAACTTACAAAAATTTTCCTACAAGCTTGAGTACCTTTTACAGGTAAGAAGCAACATTTGCTACTTCCTCTGTCAGATCTGCTGAGGGGTTTTCTGTCTTTTTTATGTTCCTTTAAGATTCAGTATTTAGATAGCAGTAAAAGAATCAGAATGTATTAGAGCAATCACAATACAAGCCATCTTCCTTTTAGTTATTGGGTTGAAGTGCAGGCCAGCGCTTGTTATATCTGTTGTAATGTCTTTTATTCAGCAATCTACTTTGAAAATACAAGGAATTTTACACTGTTTAAGGGGCTTTTTCACTTGGCTTTGGAAACCCACCATGTTACATTAGCATACAGAACTTTTCATAATAAGGTCTGTGAGAGTTTTTCATGCAAGATAAGTTTATCTAGCTATCCCTGATAGTGTAATTGTAATGACCAGAATAACATATAGGTTTTTGATTGATGTTATTGTGCAAAATAACTTGAATAAGTGCCAGGGATCACAGGTAGGGTTTTTAGAGCCCACACTGTAGCCAGTCCCTCTGTAGCTTCCCTGTTATTGGTAGCCAAACTAGCCAGGCACCTGGCCCTAGTGGAGACAGAGACTGAATCACTGTCATACAGTTCTTTTTCCAGATGATCTAATTCATTTCATAATTCTAGGAATTGCTCCCTTTTTGGCCATGGACATGTCATTTAACTAGTCTTTTGCCTTGGTTTATAAAACAGAACTGAGAATGCTTCCCCACCTTTAGGAAAGCTTTTTGAACTCTGCCTTGTTTTCATCTTGAGCAGTGTGGATTTATATGCCTCTTTTAGGTAGTTTTTACTGAATGTGTTCACCCACACTAGTACAAGACATTATTTTGGGAGTGATCATAGATCTCAGCACTCAGCTAACATAATTCTGAATGGGTTTGGATGGCTGTTGTCTAATTAAGCTGAGGATTCTGATTTATATTGTGAATTACAGTACAACATTCAGATTCACCAAATCTCACTGATAGAGTCCAAAGGCTTCTTCCTTCTTCGCACATCCTGTCCCATTAATTAAAATTAATCAGAGCTGTGAATGTGAATACTCATGCAAGAGGAACATGATATCAGTATAGCCATATGCATTTCAGTGACTTCAGGTTTTACCCACTATGGTTTTTTCCATCCAAGTTTGACCAGAAAGAAAAGACCACACTGCTGGGGAACAGGAAAGACTACTGGGATTATTTCTGTGACTGTCTGGCTAAAGTCAAAGGAGCTAATGATGGAATCCGCTTTGTCAAGTCTATTACAGAAGTAAGTAGATTGAGTCGATTAATCATTCCAACAAGTAGTTCATATTTCTGTATGCCTACTGGGAGCACTACAAAACCCCTCAGATATAGACTTATGCTGTTCCTGCTTTTTATATAGTAGAAGAAACTTGGACCTTTATAGAATACCCATCCGAAAGGTAAGCCACCGTAACTTGTTCGCCAAATTATTTAAAAGGAGACTGTGTAGTTAGGCAGCTACTCATACAATTTGTCCCAGTGACCTCATCTTAGCCCTGAAGTATGTTAATTAATGTCATGTTATTGATTCCCCTAAGAAAAGAAAACAGTCAATGAACAGTGGGAAGGATGCCTTTTTAGTACAAATGCCTATAATTTACTACCGGGGTTGGATCAAAATAGAATCCAGGGACTTGAGCCTGCCTTTGTGTGCATAGGTTACATAAGGGCAGGATTTGATCCAATGAGAGAGAGAAAACAAACGTTTACCTTTCTCATCACTTCCCAGTCATTCAGTGAGATTGAATGAGAGTAACTGAGCGAAGCATTTGGCTTCATGTCCCTATTCAGGCAGTGTTTGCACAGTGCTCTGAGGGTATAAAACACCATGTAATCATTTGGGGGGTGGGGGGAGTGGTTTTTACCGCCTGAGGTATGCTGCCATGAAGAGGATAAAAAGTGAACTTGTTCTCATGAAGCTAAGCAAAGTACACACTGGTAAATAGCACAGTAATAAAACCTCAGTCCAGCATCAACAGAGAGCAAACCTTAAATCGTTAAATCTATTAGTGAGGTAAGTACTGTGAGAAGTTTTTTTGGGTTGATCCTTTCTGAGTCTGTGGGGGAAGGAATGACTTGAATCAGACATGAGGATAATTGGAGCATTGCTGAGGGTGTGCTGAGTGTTTCCATGATGTCTAGTTTTACTGTCTCCTGCTGTGCTATTTGTGTGATGTGGTGATTATACAGATGTTTTCATCTCTTCTCTCAGGATTTCCCTGCTAGCAGCCCTGACACTGTTATCTTGGGACTTTTCCATGTCGTCAAAGAGCCAGTTAGGAGACTAGCATGACTGCTACCAGAGTAGTCAGTCCCTGCTTTCCCTATCCACTTTTCCTTCTCCTTAGGCCCTTTTTCCAGTTTTCTTTTTCGCTATCAAGAAAGCCCTTACTCCCTTCCCTGGTTTCTGTCTGGACTTTCAGATATGAAGCATCTTCTCCCCAGCCTTTCTTCAATTTCCAGTTTCAGCTCAGGAGGTTGGGGAGGCAATTAAATTAATTTAAAAACCAAATATTTTTCCCAAGTACCCAAAAGACATCTATATACACAGAAGAGGTAAGAGGAACACAAGCCTCCCATGTTGGGTGGCAGACCTTCTAGTCTCAGAGCCAGCTACCCATGTGTGTGAAAGCTCCTTCCCAAGACAAGGCAAAGCTAAAACTAAGGCTGGAATTGTTACCCCATTGACTTTAAAACCAGGTATTCATTCCCTGCAGAATTCTTCTTTATTTGTGGTCTTTTTGCTTGCTTCCAAAGCCATACACAATCTCAGTTCAATGCATTCTGACTTTCTGTTACTTTATATCCCTGCTGAGTTGCATGAGTTGCAGAGGTCTGTTTTACATCTGTTGATGACTTCAGTTTCACTTAAAAATATATACCTCTGCTGCTGCTTCTGGCTAATGGTTGGGTGGAAATCAACAAGAAGTTGCAATTTTCTTAAACATTTGCATACATTTTCAGTGCAAAGCTTCTAAAAACACTGATTTTAAAAATTACCACTGAAAAGTAACAATAAGGAGGAAAGAAGGAAAAGGTGGTAGCAGAAAAACAAGAATGAAAGTTTTTTTTGTTTTCATTAAAGATTGAAAACAATCATTTTTCTAAATTTTCCCTAAAAATGGTATTCTTATAACACTTATGGTTTTTAACAAAATAAAGTCTTTCAAGTAAGACAGCTACATGCTCTATACCAGATCTCTTTTGGACCTTTGTGAAGAGTGCTTTTTAAAATACACATATAGTGGTCTAAAGTAGTCTAATCTCCAGCTTGGCAAAGAAAGGTTTTCTGTTTGAACTAGGAGGCTCACATGTCATGAAAAAACATCGCCTGTTAATTGTTAATTGATTATTCTAAGAAGTGCTTATATTCTAAAGTGAGAAGACTCTCCAGTAATATCACCGGACTCATTATTTTTTTTCCTCTTTATTTCTCATCAGCCATTTATTCCCAAGTGGTGACATTGCACTTTTTTTTTATATAAAAAAGAGTTATTAAGTTACTGAAACAAAATTGTTACTAGAGAATTGTTATAATGGATTAAAGTTGAAGGTAGAGATCAAGACCTTCAGATTAAAACAACATAATTTACACAAGAGAAATTTTCTTAAGGTATAGTTAACTGTCATGCCATCTCAAAATCTACATTCCTCTCTTCCATTTTTTTTTAGATCAGGGGTGTCAAACATAGCTTGCACACCAGATCTGGCCTGTGGAGGTGGGTCATCTGGCCCACACAGCTTCTTTTTGGCCAGATGAATTACCTCTAGATCTGTCCATGGGGCTTCTTACTCTGGCTCCCAGAACCACTGTGTTGGCATGGCCAATACTGAGGGGTTAACACCACTATGACAGCTTTGCTGAAAATAAAGGCAATCAGTCTGATCTCCCCAGTCACCTGCAAGCTGTAGCTGCCTGTCATGATTCCCCTGGCTCCTCCTTTGCCTCCCTTTCTCGTGGCTCTCCTACCACACCTCAATTTACCTAAGTTCGGGAGGCAGGCGGCAGAGTCAGGGGTTATTTCCACTGAATGTATTGTTCACCAGACTTTTGCTCTCTGCTTCTTCTGCCCTATCCCTGGAACAGGCATCCCGCTCTGTTTACCACCCCCCTAGGGGCTCACCCTTTCTGCATGAGCACCACCTTGTTGGGGCTTCTTTATCCACCTGGATCCTGATTCTCTGGAAGGAGCCACTCTCAAAATCCACTGACTCCAGTCTCATGATGTGGGGCCTGTGTCCATTCACTGCTCTTCATGGGCACTAGGCCCCCAGCCACACCTCTGCCCACTCAGGCTCTTACTGGGACCTCTTTCCTCCCTTCACAATCCCATCCCAAACCACTGGGATCGCTTATGTGGTGAGAAAGAAGAAGAAAGGAACAGTACAGTCATATCCTGTCTAATCAGTCTCTCTCAGCATTCAAGTTTCACTAGTAGGCCGCTTTTCCCCTTTCCACAGTCTCCTTCAGCTAAGGCATCCCACTTTAGCATCAGGAGCCCCTCACCTCTGCTTCATACACCTTGTTCTGCAAACACTGATTCCAGTTTTGCCTGAACACTCTTCTCCCCTCCCTTCCTGTCCTCTGGTAGGGATTTAAGTAGCCAGGTATCTCTTTCCAGTCTCAACCTGTGAATGAGTTGCTAATTACTTAATTGGTGAGTCCTTAAGCCATTGCTGTTTCATCTTTGAGGATACTGGCTCTCTATACTCCAGCCTGTGACTCCCTTCTCTTTAACCCCTCTGCCCCTCCATCTCTCTTTCTCCACTGTTTAATAACAGGGCAAGAGTTTCCTGTTACAACGATCAGTATTGGCTGATATGGCTGGTTAATAGTCAGCTATCAGTATTGGCCAAGAAAATCTTTTATCGGTGCACCACTCCATAAGTTTTGGAGGAGCTCATACCTGGGTGGATAGGGTGTTTGGTTGCTTATGAAGTGCTTGAGATGAGAATCAGTCTCATCCCACTTTTTGTGGTGTTGTTCAAGTGGCCATAGGGTGCTGCTTTCAATCTACCTATTTTAAACTACTTTCAATGTACCTATCTACTTTGGTTGGGGAGCATCATATATCTGTAGTACAAGTTTTTAAGAGCTAATATTTACTTAGTCTACAAGGTGCAAACCTACCCTGCCTTCTACTTGACTTCATAGTAACACCGCTAACTACATCTCTCTATATTTTGAAGGGTACCAAATAATTTAGTTGTAAAAACAAAACAGATAGATCTCAAAAGCAAAAAAAAAAGGAGGAGTTCGGCAATACTTATGTTGACTAGCACCTCACTTCATGAGCAGACTCGATGACTTCAGTAGATACACTATTTCTGAAATATAGTATTATGCAGTATAATGATGGCACAGTCTAATGCAACATTACTTGTCTTGTATAATCTGAAGATCTTTTATATGTACATTTGGGGGCACAGTCTGTCCTTTGTTACCTTCTGTATATCTGTTTCCTATCAGTAAAATGACAGTCTTGTATTTGTCAGACACAAAAGACCACAACTCAGTGTTGGGATGGTGAGAAAGTCTGGTGGGGATGTACCTACCATCACTTCTAAGAACCCAAATTGCTATTCATGCTTTCTGTATGTGTTGTGTATGTATTTAGTGTTTAAAAGTTATTGTTTTGTTGCTTGTTCTTCCCAGCTGAGAACATCTCTTGGTAAAGGAAGAGCATTTATACGTTACTGCTTAGTACACCAAAGGCTAGCTGACACCTTGCAGCAATGTTTTATGAACACCAAAGTAACAAGGTAAATATCAAGGTACCTTTGTGAGGATTGGGAGATGCAGGATGTTCATCTCTAGCTCATATGCAACTGATCCAATAGTTATTCAAATAAATTAAAAACTCTCCATGAGGTTGGCTCAAGAATTTGAGAATAGGATACAAAGCCTGTCCAGTCTAGGTCACTGGTTCATACCCATCTTCAGTCAGCAGATAGTGAGGTTTGTTCCCATCTCACAGTTGTTTTGTGGCCCGTATGAAATGAGTTGTTGGCCCCAGTCCAGTTCCTCTTAGACAGGTGTTGATATTGTTAAGCAGTCATTACCACCACCACTACTAGTCTCAGTAGGGGAGTTAGGAAGGAAGTGAATAGATATGGATACCAAGCTATCCTTTGACCTTCTAGAGCAGCAAGAGTGAAAGTACATGGGCACAGGATTGTATGAGAAAGATTGCCAGTTTTATATTAATTCTGAAGACAGAGACTTTTAGACTCCAGGACATCAATGGAGTACTTATTAAAAAGGGGTAAATTCACTAATATTTAAAACAAACCCACTGTCACTGGCTAGCCAGTTTTCTACTTCAGTACATATTATGAGACCAGAAGTTAGCAATCTATGGCCTGCAAGCTGGATTTCGCCTGTGGAGCCACTGGTTCTGGCCCATGGAGCTGGAAGTCTTTGCCTCATCCCATGCCCATGCTGGGGCTGGGCATTAAGGAGTTGCACTGGAGCCAGGCAGCTGGAAATTGCACCCACATCACCAGCACTTCTCCCTGCCCCATGCTGCCTGGCTGCAGTGCGAGTGCAGCTTCTAGCGGGTGGGAAACTAAGCTGGAGCCAGGCAGCTTCTAGCTGCACCTGTACTGCAGCTGGGAAAATCAGGGGTGGGGTGGGATGGGGTGGGGAGTGCAGGAAGAAGTGGCAGCAGCAGTGTGGGTGCACTTCCCAGCTGCCTGGCCCCCACTCAGCTCCCCTCCGGTTACTGGAAAAAGTGGTGGCAGCACTGGCACAGCTCCTACTGCCTGGCCCCAACACAGACCTGGATAAATCCCCTTTGCTGCTGATTCCCTATAAAACCACCCAGCCCGCACCTGACTGGAGCCAGGGTATTCCAACCTCGTGGTTTGAAATGATTGCTGGCCCTGTACTGGACAATAGAAATAACAAGCATCAATGGTTAGTTATGTATAACGTGGGGAGCACATAAAGAAATATTTTAACATATTTTACATTAAAAAGCAGAGTGCAGGTCATGAAAAGTTTTATCCCTGGTTTGTTCTGGAAATATGTGAAAAATATATGGTGTTTTGGAGCTTGTGTATCTTAAAGTTTTCTGCCTTTCATGCTGGAGATTCAGCAGAGCTTCTGGGAGAACACTTTCACAGCTCTAGCTACAGACATCATATTTGTCCCAGGATAAGCTGTTTTTTCCCAGTACAAAGTGCAGTTGTCAGACATGAGTGAATTGTCCTGGGATAAATCTTAAAAATGTCTGTGAGATAAGAACTACTCACAGTACTAACAGTACATCCCAAAGTGCATCTGAATGGCTATCCCAGGGTTGCATTATTGAACCAGTGGCAAAAAAAATTGCAGCATGTTCAGCTGCTCATTAAACCTTTATTAGAAGGGAAATATATGTACATACGAATCGTGGGATATTTCTGTTCTGGGATAAACACAGGCACAACTTGTCCAGGGACAAATGTAACTTACGTTCCTAGCCTCATTATACCTAAGTCTAGCTGGTGCAACCTGTTACTGAACCCTGTGAACATTACATTGGCTTGTGTTTGCTTAAAAAGAAGAAATGTTTGCAAAATATAAATGTAAGACCAGAGAATACAGTGTAACTGTCCAATATGTAGCAAATTCTTTTCCCTTGCCATACCCTTTCCAAAGCCCAAAGTAAAGATTTATTGTTTAAGGAGTTTTCAAGTAAGGAGATCCATAGGTTTCAATAGCCCTACTGTCACACTGAGGTCCTCCCCCTTGTTCCCAAAAAAGGGGGTCAGAGTTAGTCAGTGGTTAGTCTGATTGTTACGAAGTGGATCCTCTTAATTTTTCTCTGACATAACAGATTGTTTTATGTCATAATCTTGACAATGATGCTCCTTTGTATGTATTAACCAGTACTACTGACTTCTTTTTTTAGTGATTGGTACTATGCAAGGAGTCCATTTCTGAAATCTAAAATGAGCTCTGACATTGTGGGTCAACTCTATGAGCTCACCGATGTTCAGTTTGACCTGGCATCCAGAGGCTATGACTTAGATGCTGCTTGGCCAACATTTGCAAGGTAATGTAGACAAGCTTTATAATTTTGCAGATGGTTGGAGCTGTAACATATATTAGCTGATCTGCAAGGTCTTCTGAAATGTTTATATTTAAGGGAGGAGGGGGGAAAAGGGTTGCATTACAGGCAGCACAAAACTTTACTTTCTGGCAGATCTGTGCCCAACCTGGTCTTCATTGTCTTTATTATACTGAACATGAAGACCCAACTCTAGTGCCTAATGAAGTCCAGAGGAATGTTCCTTCTACTGCAAGGGGCACTAGCTTATGTCCCATGTTGACTCAGGTATTCACAGTGACAGTGAAAAGTGATCTTAGTTCCTTCTACTCCAAAAGCTGAGTCTCTGACAAAACTAATAGTGACCTCTTTCACTTACAGTATTAAATGACCTTATGACATACATTTGCTTCAGTGGGCCTGATCCCACTTAAGAGTGCAACAATAAACCCAAGGTCTGATTTGATGGCATGGAGTGCACACTTAGCAAATTTGTAGATGACGCTAATTTGGGTGGAGGTGCAGACATTCTGGAGGGTAGGGCTAGGGCCAGAATTACCTGGATAAACTGGAGAAATGGTCCACAGTCAACCAGATTAAATTCCACAAGGACCAGTGCAAAGTCCTAGTTGAAGCAGAGACCACGCACACTAGCATGCTGTGCTTCACGGTCTGCTGTGGCTGTACCTAAAAGAATCCCAAATGTTAGAGCAGACAATTTGTCTGTGCATATTGACGGAGGGGGCATGTGCATGTGCACACATGCATGTATGTTTGTTTAGCCTTTCAAAATAGCATGTTTTTTCCTTGTGATTTGCAGGAGGACATTGTCCTCACTTGGCTCTTCAGCATATTTGTGGAAGCCTCCAAGTCGCAGTTCAAGCATGAACAGTTTAGTAAGCAACTACCTACAGGTAATGGAATAACAAATGAGAGTGTGTCAATCATGTTTCCTTAACAGTGCAGATCTTTATATGGTGATGTAGCCAGTGCCAGTCTAGAGGCTGTCTGATACTTGCGATTTTAGGAAGCTACAAAAACACTGACAATAAAAATAAAAAGAAATTCTCAATTGATAATGAAATCCAACATTTAAGTTGTCTTAAACATAGTTTACACAATTGTAGACAGCTAGAAAAACTACGTTAGTGTCAAGGAAAACAGACCCTTTTCCTTGGAGCTTTCCTTTTATAGCACTGGAAACCTAAAAACTAACATCACTGATAATTTCTGAGAAATTTTCTCCTGGCCCAGCAGAGCATTCAAACTCATGTTTAAAAGCCATTGAAGTCAACAAGAATGAAGTGCCTTTCTAAATTGGGACCTGAGAGCAGACTGACCTGATTTTTCCTTAGTTAAATAACATGCAAAGAATAAATAAATAACAAATGAAAGTAACTTAGAATCTGAATTTGGTTTAAGTGCTTGGACCCTGAATCATGAGCTCTATAAAAATGCCTGTTAATAAAAAAAAAAGAGTAATTGAAAGGGATTATCAGTAACACGAGAGTCTCAAAATGCTGACTTTTAACTGTACTGTAGCCCCAGAATATTAATGTTACCACCACCCAGTATTAATCAAAAACCATTAAGCCATTGTACAATCTAACGTGGTGCTATCTAATCTGATACAGGAAAAATGCAAGTTTTTTAAATCTAAACTCTCTGTTCTCCCCCACCCCTCTGCTCCTAGGCTCAGGAGTGTCCTTCTAGCCCTGATGCAAATAATTCCTTAAATCCTGAGCAACTGGAAGGTTTTGAAGAGATGCGTGTGGAGCTTGACCAGGCAGAGTTGAGGCAGAGGGAGCTTCAGGATCAGATTCATCAGCTGGAAATGGAAAATCAGGAGTTTCAGGTAGCCATTGGCCTTCAGAAAGAACAAGTGCAAGTGGAAAAAGAGAAGAGCAGCAACTACAGTGAGGAGAATGCCAGGCTGACAAAGATGATAGCAGAGCTACAGAAGCAATGTGAAGTCTCCCAGTCCACGCAGAGTACTGTTCATGACCTGCAGAAATGCTTGCGGTCATTAGAACTGAACGCAGCTGAAAAGCAAAAGGAATACTATATGAAACTAGAGCAACTGGAGTCCAGCAAGGAGGCCTGCACCTCAAGACTGCACCACTTGAATCAGGAGCTGGAAACTACTCGAGCTTTGGTCAGCATGAAGGACCTTTGCATCAGTGAGCTTAGTGACAAGCTGAGCTCTACAGAGCAGAAGAACCTGGAACTCATTGCAAAAATAGATGCTCCCTTGGGTGAGAAGGAACAACAAACCACCACTAACCATGACTGTGCTCTAAAGATCCAAGAATTACTAGAAAAACTTCATCAGGCAGAAGAGGAAAAGGCTGACATGCAGAAACTAAGCAATGAACACCTGTCCCAACTAAAGACAGTGAGAGAAGAACTGCAGCTGAAAGAGGTGGTACAGAAAGAACTGGAATCTAGATATGATTGCCTTGCTGCTGACTCCAGGGAAGAGAGTGAAAAATTACTTATGAGCCTGGAAACCATAGCAAAGGAAATGGATGCACTTCAGAAGGCGCTGACGGTGAAAGGCAAGGAGGTAGCTGACCTCCAGATCCAGTTGAAGGGCTCGCAGGCTCAGGTGGGTTCACTGGAAAAAAAACTTGAAGAGGTCAGAAAAGAAAAAGACCAACTTGAGGAGGAGTCCAGCATCACGGAAAGTACCCAGAGACAGAAAGTAAATGCCTTGGCAGAGCAATTGGAGCTTCTGGAGGACCGCACAGCAAAGCTGAGTCAGAATGTGCATAGCCTGGAGGAGCAAAAAAAGAAGCTTCTTTCTGAGAAGGACCAGGTCAGCCAAAAAATAAAGGCCTTGGAGGAGTGCACAGAGCAGCAAAGCTTAGCTCTGAGCGAAATGGGTGAAGACAACAAAAAGCTGAAATCTGAAAATACAAATCTGCAGCAAGCCAAGAAGAAGATGAAAGAGAAGCTGAAAAACTTGGAGGCATCTAAGGCCTCTTTAGAAGCTGAGGTGGCCAGGCTGAGAGCTTCTGAAAAACAGCTCCAGAGTCAGATTGATGATGCCGTGGTGTCAGTGGATGAAAAAGAAAAGAAGCTCCGGGGCCAGAACAAACAGCTGGATGAAGACTTGCAGAACACCACAAGGCAAAACCAACTCTTGGAAGAGAGGCTACAAGCACTACGTTCTGAGTTCCAAGAACTGAGACAAAGAGAAGAAGCCACCAAGGAGTCTTTAGCTGTCTTGCAAGGAGAGCACAAGAGTGCCAGACAGAACAGTTTACAAATGGAAAAGAGTTTGTTGTCCCTGAAGGAAAGTGAAGAATCTCTTAAGTTGCAGGTGGCAGAGAAGGATATGAAGCTCCAAGACAGGGAGCAGCAGTGCAAGCAGCTAGAGGCTGAGTTGGAGAGAGACAGAAAAAAAGCAGAGGCTCTGGAGATGGAAAAGCTAAGCGTAGAAAAAACGTGCCTTCACCAAACAAAACTGATTGAATCCCTTACTACTGAGAAGAATTCAGTGGAGAAAGTGCAGCTGGAGCAGGCAGCGTGTCAGGAAAAAAAAACCCAAGAGCTAGCTTCCAGACTGGCCGTGACTGAAGAGCAGCTGCAGGTCAATCATGGTGAAGTGTCCAGGCTGCAGACAGAAGTCATTGAGCTGCGAGCCAAACTTCAACAGACAGCTGATGAACGAGAGAGGGTGCAAGGCAAGCTGGATGTCACCGAGGTGGTTCTGGAAGAACAGAAAATGCTGGTCCAGCAGCTGAAAGAGCAAAGTGAATCACTCAACAGAAGCCACGTGCAAGAGTTGGTGCAGTGCAAGCAAAGAGAGGCGGCTCTAACAAAGGAGTGGGAAAAGGAAGCCCATCAGAAAGCTGACATGGAGGAGAACTTGCTGAGTCTCAAGGAAGAGCTGTCTAAGGTGAAACAGTGTTTGGAAACTGTAAGAACAGAAAATGTGGAGCACAAAGACCTTCTCCACAGGACCAACACTGAGATGGCAGAACTCGGGATTCAGATCTGTTCCCTGACCTCTGAAAAGGTGGCTGTAGAAGAGAAGCTGGCCCAAGTCAGTGAGAGGCTTCATGGAGTGACTGAGCAAGCAGCGAAGGAACAGGAGAGGCTGCAACTTGACATCTCTGTGCTTAAGCAAGAGAACCAAAACCTGGAAGAGAAACTGAAGGAGGCTCAGGTATGTGCTGCAGCTGTTCCAAGCCTGCAAGCACAGCTGGAGATGGCTGAGAAGCAGACACAGAACTTCCAAGAGACCAGCAAAGAAGAGCTGTCTGCAATAAAATTTCAAATGAGCACAGAGATTTTAAATTATCAAACAAAATTCAAGGTAAGTTGATGCAATATTGGGCTGTACAGTGTTCATTTACATCAGGAGTGCCAAAGATCTGGTCTACACCGCCCTGTCATCTGGCCCATGGTACTGTCTGGTGGTCTCAAATCAGTCCCACCAGCATGTGCTGGACCTGGCCGCACACACTGCATGTGGCACACAGAGCCAATTCAGCATGTGCTTCAGGTGGCAGGAAGGGCCAAACCAGGATGAATGCTGCTTGTGGTGCCCATGGCAGACCAGCCCTCTGTTGGATACGGTGCCAGTCTGCTGGTAACACAGCATTTATGGCCAATTTGGGGCTCATGCTGCATGCAGCACCCGCATCGGACTGGCCCTGCTCACCGTCTGCAACACTTGAGACTGGTCTATGGACCTGATCTGGCCTGCAGACCAGCCCCACACCTGTGATCTGGATTACAGGGCCAGATGAGCTTGATGCCCCTAATTTACATAGTAGGAAGGAACAATTCCCTCCATGGCAGAGATTATTGGCTGAAATTCTAAGGCTTGTGTTATGCAGGAGATCAGACTACTTATTCACAGCAGTCACATCTGGCCTTGACCTGTGAATCTATGAACGTAAAGACATTTGTCCCTGAAAACCATGTGCCTGACTGCAGTGTGCTAAGCAGCCTTGGGTCCTGCTGACTTTTAGTACTGAAGTAGATCCAGCTTCTCTAAAAAACAAATGACCCAGTATAGATAGGTTGGGGATGCACACTTTTTAAGGAGATTTTTGAAACATGGGTTCTGAGACTGGATGACTGCTTGGCTTTAGTAAATATTTATTCATCAATGACCTTGAAACATTTCAATTTGCAATGTACCATTTTTCAAAAAACCCCGTTATCCAAGTGGGGCCCAATATGCAGGGTGCTTTATAGCTGCACTGGGCTACCTGCCCTCAGATCTTCTTGATACTCTGATGAGAGGGGTTGAGGTGTAAAAACCCCAAAAGCCCAAAAGGTGGTTTCTCAAGAGGTACTTGCAAACCAGCATCACCTTACTCATGACACTCAAAGAAGAGGTCTGTCACAGTAAATTGTGCAGAGCTTATAACATGATCCTTCTTCTCTTTGATTGGGTGCTATGACTAACAGAGAAACAGTTCATATTGTTAACATTGAAGTTACCATTGGGTTTTACTATGCTGTAGATACAAACATGAGTAGTTGACACCTATCTTAGCAGCAGCATTTGAGGCAGACTGCACGCTTGAAAACGTATTGCAATATTGGTTACACTCAGCCCACATCTTAAGGTTAGCTTGTGTGATCAAAGAGCTAGAGAACAAAGTTAGGACACCACTGGCAGCCTTTGGAAATCCCCACTCTGAGGGGGTTTTTTAACAGCCACCGAGATAAATTTTGCTTCAGCCAACCCAGTTCAATTCCTGCTCTTGTAGGATGAAATCCCTGAAAAATTAAGCAGAGTGTATATGTTTTTGCAGCTGTGGAACTGAGACTAAGCCTCCTGGGTGATCAGATTTTTACAACCCTCTGTACCCTGAGATTCTTATCATGTGAAGAAATAGCTCATTTGCTTTCTACTTTGTGCATTTTAGTTTCCTAGTTGTGAACGTGACGTATTTCTTTCTTGCACTCTCAGGATGATGTTTACTTGTTTAGCAGACTGGGCTTTTTCTGTTACAGGATACACAGGCCCACAAACATAGCCTGATTACCTCAAAAGGGGATTATGCCATGAATTTTAAGCTCAAAGTTCACTTGGGTTCCCATCAGAAATTGATCAGCTGCATAACAGCCCAGGTTTTTCCCTGGTTCAACTTGAATTGTTCATTCCTCATCAGCAGGAAACTCCCAAATGGGAGGTGAGGGGGGAGACACAACTCTAGTGTGAAGTCTAATAAATGTTTTATGGACTATACTAGGATGTCAGCGAGGAATGCGAGAAAGTAAAAGAGCAGCTCAAGGAGCAGAAGCAACAGCTGGGTGCAACAAACGAGGAAATTGCAGAGTTACAGGTAGGTGCTTGATCTGATTAAAAGACTGGGATGTGTTGTGTCAGCAATCATTTGGATTGCAGTTGATAAGGCAGGCAGTCTGCCTGGTAGCTTCCTGGAGCCTGAAAAACCACTTGAAGAAATAAAGGTTCCCAGGTCAAAGTAGTCTCACACTTGGGTGCCTAAAGTGAGAGATTTTTAAAGGTACAAATGGTAGTTGAGCACTTAGATGCCTAAATACAGACCTGGGGCATAGCAGTTGGCACCCTAATTTGAAAATGTTGCTTGTCACGTTTAAATAGAACAGGTGCTTTTGTACTTCCTTTTACATGTAAGCCTTATGTTAATGAAGAAGCCCAAAACTGGATATTTTCTTTTCATGTTTCTTTTAAACTTTAAATTTAAAACTTTAACCTTTTGAACATTAAATTTTTCTCTGGGGTTTCTTATTTCAGCCTGTAAAATACCGCTTGCTTCTGATGAAGTTTATTCATTGGCTGTCTTCCTTGAAACATTTTTTTCTGCAACAGAGAGATAAACACTCTTCTGCA